GTTCTGTTTTTTTTTTTTTTTCCAATTTATTTTTGGTTCATTTTAAGCCAGCAATAGTAATTTTCAAACAACCCAGCATGTTGGGTCAAACATTTAACACAAATGTCCATTATTGTCCATATTTGACCCAGCGCTGGGTTGCCAAAATAACCCAAATTGGGTTGTTTTTAAGCATTTTTAGAGTGCGGTTACGCCAAAAGAGTGTGCTGTCGTATTTGACGCCATACCCCTGCAAGTAATACATTTTGTAAGAGCTTATGGAATTGATTCTTCTGAGGCAATATATGTTAAAGACAGCATGTTCCTAGGAGACGTTGATATTCTTAAACACAGTTGTACTAATAAATATAGGAATATTATAACAGGTGATACAGGTCAAAACTTATTGTGGACCAATAAAGCTTGGCGTGTTTGTGAAATATACTTTTTTAATAATGAAGTAAAAGAGGCTATATTTCAAATATTACATGGTATAGCTAAAAGTGTGTTAGAGAGATTCAATCTGGATATTGATTATTCCTGTGATTTTATTTATTTATGTTTTTGCTCAATGGAAAAGGAGTCTATATTGTCCATCTATTTTGTAATTGTGTCTACATGAGGATTTTTTTGGGTGGATATGGAAAATGTTATTAGAAGGAAAACAAATATTACATTCAAGTTAAATAATTTTGATATGTATGTATTATTCCAATGAAAGTATATTTTACGCTTACAAACAATAACTTTACGTTTCTTGTACATCTTTTTATTATTTTGGGAATATTTCACATACATAAGAAGAAGGTCAGGGTCCAAGCCAAATTTCATCCATTTTCTTTAGGAGACTTAAGGACTACTGCACCAGTTTGGAGAACATTTTTAATAAAAAAACAAACAAGACTTGTCATATTTTCCACGAATATACAGTTGTTGATTACTGAAGAAATGGTTTGCACACTCTTGTACATTACTGTTGTATATTTTGTTCTGGTTAATTAAAAAAAAGAAGAACCGGCATGAACATGCGCAGCGCTGCATGAAGTGGAACACACCTATTGGTACCACAACATGATCCTGTACCACCTGACCACTGCAGATTCATTTTGCAGTTGATCGTGTCGCCATCAGAGATGGCAAAAGTACACATCCTTCACTCAAGTAGAAGTACAGATACTCATGTTTAAAAATACTCTGGTAAAAGTTAAAGTACTGACTACACTTTTTTACTCAAGTTAAAGTAAAGAAATATGGGATCTGACATGTACTACTACCTGTTTTAGTGTCACGTGGGTAACGGGATCTCACATATAAACACCTTAATACAAAAGAACTTACATTTCAAATTTTGTTAGCTAATAAATGTATCCAGGCTGAACAACTGCCATGTAGAACAGGGCCGATACCAGAAAAATCTACTTAAGTACAGTAACGAAGTATTTGTACTTCGTTACTTCTCATCTCTGGTCGCTATATTAGGTTACCTTAATTATTATTACATGGCGTGAACGCAGCATTCAGCTCATCCAACCCCAATCAAACACACCTGAACAAGCAAGGCCTTCCAGTCAGATTACTAGAAAGCTACAGGCAGGTGAGTTTGATCAGGGTTGGAGTTGACCTGATCTCCTTGGATCTTTAAAACTGCATTTTACAGAGGTTGATATTGCAGCAACACGTTTATTCGTTTTAGTTTTGTGTGCTTCGCTGTCCTCTCCTCCGGACGCACCAATTCAGCGCATTTTCCAGCAGAGATCATTGTGAGATCGCAGGTCGGAAGGATGACAGCTCGAGTGTATTTCTCGTTGATTGCGGTTTTATCGTGTCTGGTCGGATACTTGAGCATAACAGATGCTACTAGAAACACCGGTGAGAAGATCTGTTGACTTCATTGCACAGCCTGAAGAAATGCAGAAATAAGTGACTTTCAGTCTTTGAAAATAATTAAAACAGTTTAGGAATGAGTAGTGTTTTAAAACACTTTTGATTTGAAGCAGATAAATATATGTAAAAATTGTATTAAAGTTTGAGACCCATTGCAAAACCCCTGATTTACAAATGCTGAAACTGCGCTCCCTGGCCTCCCCTAATGTTCCTCTTGAATCCTCTAGTGCAGTGGTTCTCAAACCTGTCCTGGAGTACCCCCTGCCCTGCACATTTTGTATGTCTCCCTCATCTATCACACCTGATTCAACTCATCAGTTCATTAGTGGAGACTGCAAGACCTGAAGATGGTGTGTCAGATATAGGGAGACATACAAAACGTGCAGTGCTGGCCTGGGGGTACTTCATGGAGAGGTTTGAGAACCCCTGCTCTAGTGAACGGTTACTGTCCGGCGAGGCTGATGGTCGTGCCGTCCCGTCGAGGATGTTCTTCTGATAGAGACTGCTCTAGAGGACACAAATGCTGTCAATTTGATTGTGGGCCTGTTTGCGTGCCATCTGTTTCCAGGGAGTTTCAGTTAAAGGGTTAGTTCACCCAAAAATGAAAATTCTGTCATTAATTACTCACCCTCATGTCGTTCCAAACCCGTAAGACCTTCGTTCATCTTCGGAACACAAATTAAGATATTTTTGATGGAATCGGA